AGTGTAAAACATTCTAGTTTAGTGTCTTATTTATTTCTTTAATTTTTCTATAATGAACCACACACAGTAATTTGGTAGCTTTTTACGCACATTTTTGTCAATATGCTGCAGAAACCGAAAATTTACACAGTGTTCAAAACGGTGAATTCCATCGTTACCACTTTGTCAGCCCCAAGTTTTTTAAGGCCAGTTTGCGCTGGTTTAATTCAATTGCGGACTAAAAGGGGGTCGTCGAAAGACAATGTTTCTTCGCTTTTTACACCCATACAGATTAAACCAAATCCAGACGATATCAACGTGGGGGCAGAGCTTACAGGGAATTTAAATAAAGCTGATTTGCTGAAAGTTTTAAATAAGTTTTACCAGAACCCAAGCATAAAGCACCTACTTACGGAGAATGGCTTAGACAGTAAGTACCGAGGTTAATAAGGATTAGGGGTTTTAAATCATTAAGGTATTTTACCCAGTCTACCTGCAGCATCAGGCCTATGTAAGCTTTAGAAGGTACTGTTTGGAGGCAAATACCCTGCCTGTTGATCTACATGTAGTCGTCAGCGATATTTTGCAAGGTGCTGGAAACCATACTGATATATTTCCGTACTTTTTACGACATGCCAAGCAGATGTTTCCCCATTTGGAATGTATGGATGATCTAAAGAAAATTTCCGATCTAAGGTAGTTTTCAGGCAAAGTTTTACTCGCTTAAACTGGTCTGGATAGTACATTTCAGTATTCCTTTAACGTAAGATTATTCTGATAAAACTTAGATCTCCAGCTAACTGGTACCCAGAAGCCAGAGCATTGAATAGAAAAATAATCTTCCATGCGGGTCCAACTAATTCAGGGAAAACTTACCATGCTTTGGAAAGGTATATCACTGCCAAATCGGGGGTTTACTGCGGCCCACTTAAATTGCTAGCATCTGAAGTCTTCAATAAGTGCAACGGAAGGGTATGTCTTTGCTGTAACAGTCTAGAAAATGATTTTTACAGTTCTAATTTTTGTTTGCACCTTAAAATAAACTAGACTCGTATCAAATAACCCGAGAAACTGGCGCGTTCATGGTCGCTTTCGCGCCCGTGATTAGGATTTGGACCTATATTTAAATTTGATGGACATAGGAGGGCATAAGAAAGGAACTTTAAGACTAAATAATATTTCAAGTACTAAAACGGGCGTTTTTAACTCCAGTTTGGTGGGCATAAATAACGTTCTTAGAGGCGCATCCACCTTAGTGTCTAGAGAAGTTAGTTGCTTTAGGAGTGTGATCAATCAATTTATTTTTAGTGGTAGTATTTAATTAACTAACTTTACACCTCTGCTTGTAAAACTCTGAAAAATTTAACTATTATTTTAAATTGCTCAAAAGCAGAATTATGTGGATTTTAAGCGTTATTTGTCAATTCAGTAGAACTGAGTACAAAGTTTTGCAATAAAATAATCCAATAATCGTGGATTAGAAGAAATATTGGCAATATTTTTAGTCAAATTTGATCAGTTAACAATCAAAGCAAAATAGAAATACTGAAAAAATGTTGCAGGGAACACCATGTGATCTTGTAACAGGAGAAGAACGAAAATTTGCAGATCCTTTACAAAACCCATCCGCCCATGTGGCTTGTACAGTTGAGATGACTTCAGTTACCAATCCTTGTAAGTCACTTCAGGCAAAAATTGTTAATATTCGGGACTGAATTTTGTCCATTTTAGATGAAGTAGCTGTAATTGATGAAATTCAAATGATCAGAGACCCACAAAGGGGCTGGGCCTGGACGAGAGCCCTTCTAGGGCTGATGGCTGAAGAAGTCCACCTGTGCGGCGAAGCAGGAGCTGTGAACTTAGTTAGTCAACTGTGTCTTACCACGGGCGAAGATATAGAAGTTCGGAATTACAAGCGATTGACTGATCTGAAAATTGAAAATCAGGCTTTAGGTAAGCGAACGGAAAATGATCCATTATTTAGGCAAAGAAGTCATTCCCTCTTGTTTTTTTTGCAGGAAGCTTGGAAAGTGTGAAACCAGGCGATTGTATAGTATGTTTCAGTAAAAACGACATATATTCAGTGTCGCGTAAAATTGAAAATATTGGAAAGGAAGTGGCGGTAATATATGGGGGCTTGCCACCAGGTAAACTTTTTTTTATTTATTATTCTCTCATTTTTTATTCTTGTTATCTTAGGAACTAAGCTGGCACAAGCAGCAAAGTTTAATGATCCAGAAAACAGTTGCAAAATACTGGTTGCTACCGATGCAATCGGAATGGGCCTAAATCTGTAAGTCTACGACAGGGATATTTAGATGAATTCATTTTTATTTTATTTTTATTGCCCAGGAGTATAAGAAGAGTTATTTTTTACTCCCTAATCAAACCAACTATGAATGAGAAGGGCGAGAAAGAAATGGACACGATCTCAGTGTCACAAGCATTGCAAATCGCTGGCCGAGCTGGAAGGTAAAAAACCTATTTTTAACCGTTCATTTCTTTACTATTTATTTCAACTTTTTGAAGGTACGGCACCAAATGGGAACAGGGCTTCGTAACAACGTTTAAAACTGAAGATCTGCCAACTTTAAAGACGTTGATGGCCTCTCAGCCAGAGCCTTTAACACAAGCGGGTCTTCACCCCACTGCAGAACAGATAGAACTTTATGCCTATCATTTGCCTAATTCGACTTTAAGCAATTTGATGGTAAGCGATATGGTTTTGTACTGAAATTGCTTCTTCGATGTAATTTTTTTCCTGAGTCTTTAATATGAAACTTGCTTTCAGGATATATTCGTCAATCTCTGCACCGTGGACAATTCGTTGTATTTTATGTGCAACATCGATGACTTTAAATTTCTAGCCGATATGATTCAACATGTTCCTTTGCCGCTTCGAGCCAGATATGTCTTCTGCTGCTCACCAATCAATAAAAAGATGCCATTTGTGTGTACCATGTTCCTCAAGGTAAGCAATTAGCAGAAAAAATGTCAACGGTAATTTAATTTGGTTTGCGTTGTTAGTTCACTAGACAATTTAGCAAAAATGAACCCATCACCTTCGACTGGTTATGTTCGTCGATTGGTTGGCCTCTGCAACCGCCTCGCACCATCCTCGACCTCGTACATCTAGAGGCTGTTTTCGATGTTCTCGACTTGTACCTTTGGTTAAGGTAAGCCGGGGATTTTGGTTTAGTTAATTGGGAATTCGCAATGTTCATGAATTGCAGTTACCGGTTTGTGGATTTGTTCAACCAGGCGGATTTAGTTAGAGACATGCAAAAAGAGTTAGACCAAATTATACAGCAAGGAGTGGTACAACTGACCAGATTGCTGCAAAATTCCGAAACAGGTATTAGCTCGGGTACATCTAAGGCAGATGAAGAAGTTTTCGATAGCCATAATAAGAAGCAAAATTATTTGCGAAGTAAGCAAACATTTTTTTTGTCGGGGTTTTCAAGCTTTTGAGACCAGATTTATTAGTATGAATTTTATTTGAACTTTTGTTTAGATATCCAGTCGTCGCCTGTTGGCAAAGGGAGGCTTACGCAACGACTATTAGCTCAAGGAATCCTGACACCGGACATGCTAAGTGAGCTCAAAAAGGAATGGAATCGAAAGGAAGAATTAAAAGCCAGTGATAGTGATGAGGATCCTTCACCCCCAAAAACGACCGTTAGGAGAAAGAGGAAAACCACTAAGTAAATATGTATCTAAAAAATAAATCATCGAATATAAAGCCTTTTTCGGGGTGTTTTATCTTCAGAAGTCTAAAAAGTAATTAAACCCTAGTGAATAAGTATTTTAGCAGCCGGTTCTCAGTAGAGTGCAAATAACTTTAATTAAAAATCATACACCAGTCAATTGAAATTTGCTTTACTACTTTATTGCGGCATCAGCATCTACAACAATAACAAGCACAAATAATCAGTTTGGTTTTTTAACATCGTTAAGAGTAACTTTTTTGTACGCCTTTAAAGATGAATTTTAAAATTCACTTGCACTGGACAGGTTATCCCAATTCTAATCGTTTTGGTTGCGACTCAATGAACTCTGCCCTATCATTTACCCCCTTTTTGAAGTGATTGATAGTTAATCGCCAAAAGGCTATTCTGAAGTCGGGACTATAAAAGGCGTAGATAAATGGATTGATAGCTGAGTTAATCCATCCCAGCCATGTCATATAGAGCATGATGAGCCGGTTGACTTCGTTGGGTTGAATGAACGGCGTAAGCAAGTAGTTGATGAAAAATGGAAGCCAACATAGGATGAAACCACCTGGAAAAAGTAAAGTTTATTTAGGCAATTAATTTTCATTGTTCAGTCGTAGGAGACTTACCCATTACGATGCTAAGGGTTTGTGCAGTCTTTGATTCTCTTCGCAACGACGATACTCTCGATGCAGGCTCATAATTTAACATGGTTAATTCTACTTGGGATGGTGATGTTATTGGTTTAGTTGGCAAAGATGATCTAAAATTTTCAATGAACAAATTTTCTAAGTGTAAATTAGCGCGCCTACCTAAAATTGTTGTAGCTCCTAACGGGAGTTAAAGATCTGTGGTCATGGAATGAAAAGCTTGTGTTCGGCTTGAGTAGTCTGGAGGATGATTTCCGAGGCGTGTCAGGTAGTATGCTATTTCTGTAGTTGTTGACCAAACTGGACGAGCGCGCGCTACGGAAAAAACCATTATTTAATTTGTTTTTATTTAAAAATGTTTGTCCAATATACCTTGCAGATCTGTCTTCAGTTTCGGCCGAGATTCTTTCGATATCCGATTCTTCAATGGTAATCCCATTCTGCTTACTTTTCTGCAAAGCCAAGCTGATGTATTACATAGATTATGTTTTACATCGCACTTACCCTAGTGTATGAGCTATTTATGTGACTCAATTGATCGTGTCTCTGGGCAATAACACAGGATATTCTCACGTAGACGTACAGCATCACAATCATGGGAATGAAAAACGAGCCCATTGCAGAGAAGATCACATAGCCAGTGTTTTGGTTATATCTGCAGGTTTTCTGGCCGTGTCTGCCTGATTCGTACCTAAAGAAGAATTTCTTCAACCTAATAAATCGAAAATTACTTTGTTGCTTACCATCCGAACATGGGCGGTGCGGTGATTAATGCAGAACTAACCCATACGATAAGTATCATTACGAAGGCCAAACTTTTCGATCTTCGTTTTTTGGAATAACTGAGAGGTTGGGTGACTGCCAAGTAGCGATCCACACTAATCGCACATAAGCTGAGAATTGAGGCCGTACAAAGAAGGATATCCAACGAGACCCAAAGGTCGCAAAGCACCCATCCCAACTCCCATGCACCTAAGGAGTCCCAAATATCAATATTACTTTACCTCTCCTATTAGAAATGTATTATGATACTAATCCCTGAAACTACGTCGAAATGTCTGCGGAATGGAAGCGATAAATCCAATTAATCCAGACCGAATCATTTATTTTCGACAATAGAGTTGAGTGTGCTTTTCTTAAATAACCTCAGCCTCATATAAGAAGAGAAATGAGAATTCTACCACAGTTTTTATTGCACCAGATTAAAGTGGTCTGGAAATATTTTCATTCAAGAGCAATCAGAAAAATCGAGCCAATTCATGAATAAAGATATCGCCATTGAACTTTTCAGATGTCGTTTAGAAGCGTATTTTCCGAATGTATTCTTGACCGATCAATCTTATGGCTTAATAAAGTAATTCTTTACCTATTCACCAAGTTGACTACACATTTAATTTTTTCCAGGCGACAATTTTGCGTTTTATAACAAGCGACTTACAAGAAATTACTTTATTCCTTTTCAGTGCCAAGATAAATGGGACTGATCATGAATAATTTAACAAAAAGACCTGCTTCCATACCGGGTGTCATCGCAATTGCTTTCCGGGCGTCCGTTTTAGACTATTAAACGGAACGCGGAAGTCTTGACATTATAACTAAAGTTTTTACAACTTCAGCTTTTGCTCCAAAAGAGTTTTAAATGGCGTTATCTTTATAAAGCGTGCTGAATGTGCTTGATACTTTTTCGGGGTTTCTTCTTGTTTGAAAATTCCTCTCACTTTATATTTTTTCCTAAAAGGGTTTCAGTGTTAACTAATAATACAATGGCTTTTTGGGCCTGCATGAATGGCAAATTTGTAATTAGCGAAAATTATTTTAATCGAGTATTTTGCATACATAAAATTTCCTGTGCATTTCAATGTTTAATTGATCAACCGTGAAACGAAGTGAAAACCAATAATTTCCAAATAAATGTATCGAAAATTGAAGTGTAAAGATGTAAAAACAGAAAATAATAATAATTTGAAGCAAGGGAATTTTGTTAAGAAAATTAAAAAATTAAGTAAATATTGGTACTGTGATTTTTTCTGCCAACCTTTTTTTATTCATCGCGTTTAACGCAATCTTTTGAAGGTGCAATTTTTTCCTGGTTGTGCTCTGAATACTTTTACAGGGCGTTTCAAACCTAGATGGAGTTCTAATTGGAAAAATACAGAAAAGTTGTCGAAAAGAAAACTTCGATATTTAAATATGAGGGGTTATAAACGGAATAATCACTAGTTACTGTGTTTTAAAAAGCTTTTTTACTACATATTTAGTATTGATTAAATTTGAGAATTTAGTTACTGACTAAACCAATGAATTAATTCAGTCCACATTTTTTGAATTGTACTTTTTTAAATTTTATTTCGGGTTACTAGTTTAGGCCTTACGGTCAAAACATACCTTTCATAGATTTTCCTCAGATTTTATTAGTTATAGTTTTTTTTTTTTTTTGAAGAAAATTGAACATTTAATATTCTAAAAGGTTCTTTTCCAGAAAACGAGAACTGAATATATTAAACGCTCCCCTATTATATATTTTTTTGGTTCACACACACCGTTTTAACCATCTATATCTTTGCGGAAAATTTAATAGTTTGGGATCTACATAACTCAAGTTTAAGTTTTTAAATAAATCTCGCTTATATAATTTTTCTGATTTTTTGAACGTTAACTCAGTTAAATCGTGCAAATATTTAAGAATATTCAATTAATAAAATTCCATAGACCATTTGGGGTCATTTGTAACTTAAACATTAAAAAATTGTACGCCGCTTGAAAAAAAGATTGTTACTTTAGCATTTCGATAGAGGAACGTTTTTACTATAAAAAGTTCCTTTTGATAAATATCGATTACTGGCGGAGTTTGTATGTAAATCGATCAAATTTGCTGTAGTTTCATACATTATATTAGCGCTTCATCATCAATTAAATAAATTTGAAAAATGCACGATGAAACTTTTCAAAAAGTTACATTTCTAAGCATATAATTTGGTTTTGGATTTTTTTATATGAAAACCTCAAAACATAAAAATGCACCAATCATTGAATATTAGAAACCATTCACTTTGCCTCAATACCTTTGGAATAAATACATATTCCCTCTGCTCATATTACCATATTTACTTTTTGGCAACAGATGGAAGCAAATATCGGTTTTTATTGGCTTATCCTTATCGATCTTACCCATTATAAGGTAAGCAACAGCTGGTGGCATCACAAAAATCCCCACCAGCCAATCGGCAACCGCCAAAGACATGACGAAACAATTTGTGACTGTTCTTAAACGTTTCGTTGTGATCACGGCCGCTATCACTAGAGTGTTTCCTATCACTACTATCACAATCACTATGCTCAACAGGATCACTAGGAATGCCTGTTGATAGCCGAATTTTCCAGGGGCGGCTTCTTGGAACGGAAACAGGGTCATGTTGGAAGCATTGTTTTCCGCGGGCGTGACCACGGTCGTAGTCATAATGAATGATCATTTCTGAAAAGAAAAAAACTAATTATTTTTTTTTATAATCAACAATGTTCCAAATTTATTACTTTATTCATTAAAAACGGCGATGGGACTGAGAGTTTCTCCAGTTCACAATGTTTCATTGGCTTAGGCTGCAGTTATTTATTACTTCAAATATCTGATATAAACCGATTATTTATCGACAAGTTAATCTCCTGCAGGTCTCTGAGAGCAAAGTGACGTAAAAAGCAAGAACGCAATATTTATTGAAACAAAGTTTCAGAAACCTGCTGGAACATCCATAATGTTACCGAAAGTTTCATGGAGTTTGCCATTTGACTTGCAAATGGGTAAATAAATTTACAAAATAGAAACATTACAGAAAGATAAAGTTCTAGATGGAGCTTAAGGCGGATTGAAAGAAATGATGAACTTTAAATGTGATTAGAAAATTAATAAAAATTGTTAATTTTACACGAACGGTGTCTCGGAGATATTGCTGAGGTGCGAAGTTAAACTGAAGTAGAAAATGAAACGTGCGATTTTTCGTGCTTTTAGACCGGCCAGAAACATAATTTATTAACGGTGTTAAAGCCACATGTGGCTCACCTCTGAAGGTGTGAAACATTCGTGCTTGCGAAACGTTAGGAAGAAATTGTATACGTCGTCGGTCTAAAAGACCGACAAATTCGTCAGCTTCAAGCAAGTCTCGCGAAAATTTAAGTCTTTTGATGAAATAAAAAATGCGTAGGTTAAGAGAATTTATAAAACAGTGCAGAAAATGAGCCAACATGTTTCATTGTTGATCTGAACAATCACATGGTATTTTATTTTTGTTATTTATTTCATTATAACCAACATTCAAGTGTTTTTCTCACATTTTCATTAATTTTAAATTTAAAAGTTTATTTTATGCACAAATTTCTCCAAATTTATCACGTCATAAGCGCGAATGCATTAAGTATGACCGGAACAAATTTTGCTTAAAAACAGCTCCTATAGCTATTGTCCCACAGTTTCACTCTCAGTTCCCGGGGAAAAACTGTATACCAGGTGCCTCAATTTTAAGTCAAAAGCGCTTTATAC